CCTCGAATCAAGAGATGGAGAGGAGTCCTCGGCGCACTATGAGCCTCTGGCAAGCCCGTGGAAGTAGACACCGCCGCGGGGGAGGGGACACCTGGGACCTCTGACTTGATGTCTTGCACTAGGTGGATATTAACGCCCCCTCCTCCCGAGGGCCATGACGCTCCCGCTCAGAAGCACTAGTTTAGTACATATCCTTCCACTCTTTTATACAGAGGACTTTAACCAAATTTGGCTTGGATTCTATTTTTTTAGATCCCTATAGAATTTTTTACCGAATGGGCTTAGATTCTATTTTTCAAATCCCTCCTTTTTTTTTTTCACTGAACTTTACATCCTATATTCATCCTTATACTATGTTTGAAAACACGTAACAATGGCTGCAGAATTATAAAATCACGACGTTTGGGCATTATTGGCTGAACTCTTCCTCTGAGATACTGAGGTCGTGTGCAGTTTGGTTACTTCAAGTAACGATGCGATGGACGTCTTGGTCTAAACACTCCGCGGGTACCTGTAACCGGCGTTTCTGGGTTTTGCCCGCCCAGCGTCAGGGCCCACCTCCCTGTGATCACAGTGGCCTGGTGTCCCTTCGGGGGAGCCACATGTCCCCTTCTTTCAGCCCATGTAGTTTATAACGCATTAGCACCAGCTCCAGAGGACGGAACCTAGTCATAAATGATGTACCACCTCACTTAAACTCAAAAATTTGACCCAGGCCTGGCCAATCAGAGGATGGATCTCCCCCTAGTTACAGAGATTAGTTGAGGATTGGATGCATCGCCCAAGCCTGGCCAATCAGGGATTTGTTTATAGAGAGACACCTGACCCAAGACGAGCCAATCAGAGTGAACCCTGGGACTTGCCCTGGGACTTACTGTCAAGGGGCCTTCTCTCGTTCTTCCTCTGACCTCCGCTTTGGAGAATGCGGAGCCGGGGTTGTTTACCTGGAACCGGAGAATGAAGCCAAGAGGTAGAACAGAGCCCAGAGACCGAATTCTGTCGACTTTGAGCCCCTGATCAAGCTGTGCCTGAAGCTAGAGTCCTTGGCCTTTCAGTTTTATAAGCCAGTGCATTCCCTTTTTGGCTTAAGTGAAGTTGAGTTGGGCTCTCTGTCAATTTTGAACCAAATAGCTCTGTTTTTTTTTAGATTAAATTTCTTGGCTTGGAATTATGGAGCCAAAGGACATAAACATTTTTTTAAGCCCCTTGAGACCTCCAGTCGAATTGCTTTCCAGAAAGTTTATGCAAACAGTGTAAAGGTTTAGACACTAGCCTATCTTATAAGCATTAGCGTATTACCTTAATTTTTTCTTATGGGCAGAAATTATGTGATTTAATCTTATTTTTAGTGAGGTGAAAAGTGTTTCTTTTTTTTTTAAGATTTTATTTATTTGAGAGACAGAGATCACAAGTAGGCAGAGAGGCAGGCAGAGAGAGAGGGGGAAGCAGGTTCTCCCGCTGAGCAGAGAGCCCGATGTGGGGCTCCATCCCAGGACCCTGGGATCATGACCCGAGCGGAAGGTAGAGGCTTAACCCACTGAGCTACCCAGGCGCCCAAATGTTTCATGTTTATAGGCCATTTTTATTTTGTGATTTTCTGAATATGAACAATTGTCTTTTTCTTACTTTGTGAGCACTCTTTAAATATCAAAATCATTGATCCTTTTCCAGATGTAGCATCATTTCCCCCCAGTTTATTGTCTTCAGATATTTTGATGTGTTCCAAGGTAGATGCATTTTTAATTTTTTAAAAGATTTTATTTATTTATTTGACAGATCACAAATAGGCAGAGAGGCAGGCGGGGGGGTGGGGAGGCAGGCTCCCCGCTGAGCAGAGAGCCCGATGCGGGGCTCCATCCCCGGACCCCGAGATCATAACCTGGGCCGAAGGCAGAGGCTCAACCCACTGAGCCACCCAGGCGCCCCACATTTTAAATTTTTATGCAGTCAGATTATTTTCAGGTTTCCCTTCTGTGGCTTTCGTGCTTCCTGACTGAACAGCAGGTCAACACAGACCAGATTTTCTTTTTTTTTTTGGCATTTACACACCCAGTATTTCTTACCCTGACGTGGGAGAGCCCTCTCATTGCAACTGCCCCAGTTCTTACTAAGAATGCAGATTCCTGGGCCCCCCACCCAGAATCAGCATCTCTGAAAACAGGCTCTAGGTATCTCCATGGTTAGCAAGTGTCGTGGTGGTTTAAGGAACATGGAAGTTGGAAAGCAACCACCCAATGGAACTGGAATGTCCTACTGTATATGGTCTAAAAAGAGGACATAATTTTATTTTCCTATCACACAGCCAATTTCTTCAGCACCAGCCACTTGTCAATAACACAACTTTCCCAGGATGGTCTGTAGGAAGAATTTTCTCACACTGGGAGTTACTTAAAGCTGAAGTCCGTTGGCAGATAATGAGCTCACGGTCTCACAGAGTGTCCAAGCCCTGGGCCACCTGGTGTCTTGGGGTCTCAGGGTCTAAACGGGCAGTCAAATGAAGTGACATTTCATAAGGAACTCAAACCCCTGCTTTTTTCTCCAAATGCACTTGAAGGTCTCTTTGCAGCTAACATGGGACCCAAGAGAAAGCATTTGAAAATGTATGAGGTTGGGGCTGAGACAGCTGTTGGCCATGAAAGCCCAGAAAGCACGAACCCCAGTGTTGCGGGACATGCCTGCAGAAGCACCGCTGAGCCCAGCGCCCCTTCTGTTGATTTCGTGACCCAAGCCCCTCATGGGGAAGGCTGGGAGCTCCTAAAACATTGGGCTGCCCGTTGCAAATGCGGACTGATGCCCAGGCCCCTGCCACCCCAGGCATATGTTCTGATCGTCGTCCTCCCTGAGGAGTGTGACAGAACACCAGGAGCAGACCTACAAATGCACGACCGGTGCCCAGCATGCAAATGGCAGGGGACAGGCGGACAAGAGCCCCCTTCCCTCATGGGCCCTCACAGACAAAGCCAGGAAGCCAGAGAACCATGCCCTGGGCATATAGAAGGGTGTATGTCCAGTCCCTACCAGGAGGTTAGACAGGGTGGGGACTGTCACGCAGCCCCATCATGCCGAGGGGACACTGAAGTCCGGCCAGGGGGAGCTGGTGCTCCAGGAGGAGCAGAGCCAGGCTAGGCATTGAGAATTTGCCATTATTCTAAAGCAGCGGTTCCCAAACTGTGGCCCTGGGCCCTGCGGCATCCGCCTCTCTTGGGGACGTATTAGAGATGCAAATTCTAAGGCCTCTAAGACCCCAGATTGTGCCATCAGAAGCTCTGGGCGGCCACACTCTGTTTTCACAAGCCTTCTTGAGGATGGTTCGAATCTAAGAATCACTGGGCTGGCGTGTGTCCACAATACAGGGAGAGTGATGGGTCACTTTAGATCTCCCTGGAAAGCCGATGTCATGGCAAGAAGAACTGAGAAACATTAAGAATCTGAGAGGCTCCTTGCAAGGGATGGAATGAATGAGTCCTCCCACCCCAGATTCACATGGTAAAATCCTAACCCCCAGTGTCTTAGGAGGAGAGGCCTCGGGGAGGGGAGGAGGTCACAAGGGCAGATCCTCCATGAGTGGGATTAGTGCCCTGATAAGAATGAGCCCACAGAGCTGTGTCGCCCACCACGTGAGGGCACAAGGAGAAGACTGCTGTCTATGAACCGGAAGCAGACGCTCACCAGACTGTCGGTCTCCCCAAGTGTGAGAAATAAATGTCTGTTGTTTTAAGGCCCCAGTCTGGGCTCCTGGGATAGCCACCCAGGAGGACTAGGACATCCTTATGTGTGGCCTCCGGACCCAAGTCCAAACCTCGTAGCCTGGCCTGTGGACCCATGAGGGTCCTGCAGTCCATGTTCTCACCAGAACTGAAAGCTCCTCCCCTCGTGTTCCCTTCTGCTTCTGAGCCCTCCCATGACCTTGGCCTTCTCAAACCCAACCAAAAGCCCGACCAAAAGCAAGCTTCCGCCTCGTTTCTTCTTTGTTTAAACTGCTTGTAGGGACGCGACCACACTCAGCCCGAGGGTACGAGGGTACGGAACTTCCTTCACTGATTCCGCAGCCAAATCCTTCTCACACTCCCAACCTTCCCTCCCTCAGAGCCTCCTGTCCCCTCTCCTGTCCCTGCTGGAAAACAGCGACCCTCGGTGTTTGTTGACCGCACAGCAGCATCTTTTCTGAAACTGAGAGTTAGTTTGCGGACCACTGTTCGCAGCTCGCAGGTTGCTCTTGACCGTCAACTTTTACCCAAACCGATAGACTGATGCAGACCTCCGGAGGTGAATTCTTTCCAGGGCTGTAGGGTTGCTAGGAGGATTCCACGCCGTGACACAATAAAACCAAACCAGGGCCTTCCAGGTAGACCAAGCTGTCCCGGCCCTGGTCTAAGAATGTCAGACTGGGGAGGGGTCTCCCTTAGACACACTCTCACCCAATCTTACAGGTGGCAAAGCAGCCTGGAGAGAGGCTTTGCCTGGCCAAGGTGTCTCTGGGAGCAGCATTCGTTCCAGGCAGCTCTGGGAAAGGCGGGAGGTCTCACTCGGTATCCAGCTTCTGAGAACCAGTGACGAGATGCCTCCAAGAGACAAACCCAGTAGCCCCAGTCTGCTGTGCTCCCCAGTCTGCCATGCTCCCCAATCAGCTGTGGAAGAGGCGAACTCCCATGCCTCCCACAGCCCTGGGTGGCTCTGTAGGAGAGTTCCTGTGATTTGGATGTTCCTAAAAGCTAGACATCTATCCCAAGTTCTTCTCAGACAAAACCGCTGCTGGCTGTGAGCATGCGGCCTCCAACCCGGGACCTCCCACCTGACTGCCGCTTGCAACCCAGGAACCCGCTTCTCTTTTCCCCAGTCCCAGCCTCCACGCCTGCTAATCCCCCAGGATGGGCAACAGTGCCCCCCACCCCCAGACTCCCTCCCACCCCGTTGGTGGGGGCGCTGTGGTGAGAAAAAGAGGCTGGACAGGAAGGAAGATGGTCTTGATGTTGGTGGGGCGTGTGTGGCTGCTGGCTGGCTCAGCTCGAGCTGGAGCACTCCGAAGTCTGGGTGCCTGGAAGGGGAGTTCTTGGGACCGAATCTTGATCCCTTGGGTATTTCCTGAAGGAGCTGCGGTATCTTCTGGGGTTCTTGAGACGGTCCCCTGACCAGCATACTCTGGGTTCCATGAGCAGTGAGATAAATTTCACTGTCTCCATTTTGTCCAACATAAATTCCTGGGAGGAAAAAGAAATTTCTCTCACTTTCCGGTGCTTTGGCACCCCCTTCCCAAGGACCAAAGCACCCTCGGAGGCTACCTACACTTCCATTAACTCTCAAAGTGCCCTGCAAAGGAGGTGGTATCAGTGATTCTTGGCCACTATGCAAACTGAGGCTCAGAGAGGTTAAGTGACTTGCCTGGAGCTGCACAGCCCAGGGCTGGCAAAGCAGGCAAAGTCCAAGTCCTGCTGTGGCTTCCTGATTGCAGTTGCTAGCCTCTTTTCACTGCTTCCTCCGGGAAGCCCACCCCGTCTGCCCCCAGGCTCCCTCTCTGAGAGGCATTCATTTCTTAAAGACCTTCCACCTCCAGCTCTTTACTTAGCACAATGCTGAGCACATGTGGGCGACTCAGTAAGTCTTGGTTGAGTGATTGTTTCAGGAGACCCCCGGCACCCCCTGACATCACCGTGTAATTTCTTCCTTTTTCCTGGGAGGAAGATGAAATTAACGCGGTGTGACTATTTAGACAAATGTGCCCTTATTGAAAACGAAACCATATCACAACATGAATATGAATAACATGAGTTGTGCCCCAGGGGATGCCAACAACGTGAATGGTGTCCCTGGAGCCGTGCCGCGGAGCAGCCCTGACGCTGTCTGAGAGCTCCTGAGAAGTCCTCCAACAGAGAGGCAGGCTTTCCGACTGTGGGCTGTTGCCACGGCAACCCGGGGGCAGGGACTCACCCCTTTGGTGTTCCAGAGGAAAGGAGCATCTTGTGTTTGGACGTCCCCCCTGAGCCTGCCTCAAGTAAGGACAGCTAGCTGTGACCTAGAACAAGGCCAGTATTGAGGATGGCCCACAGCAGAGCATGGAAAGGGTGAGTCCTGGCTGATCCAGGGAGCCTCGGGTCACACCATGCCTGAAGCCCACCCGGCCACAGAGCTTTGTGGTGATGCTTCGCATGATCCAAACATACCCCGTTAGAAGAGTCAAACCACCTCAAAAAAAGAGCAAACTTGGAGGACTCCCATCTCCTCATTTCAAAATTACAAATCATTACAAAGCTCCAGTAATCGAGACACTGTGATATTGGCATAGGATAGACATCCAGACCAATGCAATAGAATTGAGGGTCCAGAAATTTACCTTCACGTTTGTAGGCAATTGATTTGTGACAAGGGAGAGGAGACAGTTCAAGAAGAAAAGATAGCGGTTTTTTCCCCAATAGATGGTATGGGGACTACGGAACATCTTTATGCAAAAGAATGAAATCGGACCCTATATCCCATACCGTATACATAAGTTAACTAAAAATGGATCATAAACCTAAATGTTAGAGCAAAAACTATACATTTCTTATTAGAAAGCTTAGGTGTAAATCTTCGTGACTTGGGATAATAGTTTTTGCAATGTGATGTGCTGTGGTAAGGACAAGTAGCCCAAGGGAAGAAAATAGCTCAGCTGGATTTCATCCAAATTAAAAGCTCTTGTTCTTCAAAGAACACTATCAAATGAAAAGACAACCCACAGAAGGGGAGAAAATATTTGCAAACACATATATCTGATAAGGGACTTCTACCTAGAATATATCTTAGAACGCAACAATTTAAAAAAAAACCCAAATAATCCGATTTAGAAATAGGCAACGGATCGGAGTAGATGTTTCTTCAAAGAAGAATTTAAACAGCCAATAAGCGCGTGAAAGACACTTAGCGTCATCAGTCGCCAGTGGCTCGCGAAGCGAAACCCCAGTGAGATACGACTTCACACCCTGTGGGATGGCTGAGTTGTGAAAGACAGACCACACCGGGTGTGGACAGGATGTGGAGGAAGTGGAACCCCCGCACGCCGATCGTGGGATCGTGCGATCTCGCAGCCACTCTGGAAAACAGTTTGGCAGTTTCCCAAAATGTTAAATATACAGTTACCATACGACTCAGCGATTCCACTCCAAGGTATCTAGCCAAGATAACGGAACATACATGTCCATGCTAAAACCCATATGTGAATGTTCACAGCAGCGTTATTAACAATAGCTGAAAACCCGGAAACAACCCAAAGGCCCATCAGTGGATCCACTGGTCCACACAGCGGCGTATTATCTAGCCCTAAAAAGGAATGAAGTATGGATTCGTTCTATGACGTGGATCGACCTTGAAATCATTATGCTAAGGGGAAGAAACCAGATGCAGAATGTATCTTTTTGGGGTGAAGAACTCTTCTGGACAGCAGTGACGGTTGCCGGGGTCTGACTGAGCTGAAAACCTGAAAGTGTATGCTTTAAGAGGGAAGATGTTATGGCACGGGAATTGTGTCCCAGTAAAGGTATTATTGAAAAGAAAGGGGGCACCTGGGTGGCTCAGTGTGTTAAAGCCTCTGCCTTTGGCTCAGGTCATGATCCCAGGGTCCTGGGATGGAGCCCCACATCGGGCTCTCTGCTCAGCAGGGAGCCTGCTTCCTCCTCTCTCTACCTGCCTCTCTGCCTACTTGTGATACCTGTCAAATAAATAAATAAAGTCTTAAAAAAAGAAAAGAAAAGAAAAGAATGAAGACGTGCTCTGTGGTCAGTAGAAGCCAGTCTGCCGACACACTGTCTGTACTGCACATTGGCATCTGGCGGGCGGGGGGCTGGTCCCGGGGAGGGGGGGTCAGTGTAAAGGGGAAGCTCTGGGGACTTGACCCAGAGTCTGAGGTTTCCACTGAAGAGGCTCCCTTGGCCATTGAAATGTGTCCACCCAGAGTGCATGTGAGTGTGAATGTGTGACCACACCCATGGGCATCTCTGTGTCTGCGGGTGTGTCATGTGTAACGTTAGGCATGTAGAGAGCACATGAACGTCCGTGTGACTGTGTGTGTGTGTGTGTGTGTGTGTGTGTGTGTGTGTGTGTGTGTGTGAGACACGTGCCGGGGGGACCACAAAGAAATACCAGGCAGAGCTAGGAGTTCCGTTACAGCTGCCTCCAATCCTGCATCAAATGGGAGCTCGTTCCAAGTTTGTTGAGTGACTAACAGACACCCCAAGACCCACTGCCCCAGGAGCCTGCATAGCCACGGGCGGGCTCATGGGGCTAAACGTGAATGCACCATGAGCTGCGGCTCAGGAGGGGCGGAGATTGGACACCAGCCTGGGGCGGCAGGGAGGTCTCACCTGAATCAGGTCGAGCTTCGAGAAGAGGCCCATGCTCTCCGGTGAGCGGTGGGCGGAGGCGGAGTGGTGGGCGGAGGAGGAGCACTGCCGGACCATGTTGTTGATGATCCTTTGCAGGTCGTTGAGCAGCTGGTTCTGCAGGAGGAGAAGGTGGAGGAGGACGAGGTTCTGGTCCTCTCCCAGCACCCCCCGCCCCCCGACCCCCAGCTCACTCGGGCCGGAAAAGCCACCTTCTCAGCCTGCTCTGTGCCCCACTCCCAGAGGGCCTTGCTTGCATCCCCCAACTCCAGCGCCGGAGCATCCTCCCTGCCATGGGGGACATTGAACCAACTTCCCAGAGGGTTCTCCTGGCTAGAGACCCCTGCAGGCCACACCAGGGGCAGGGCCTGGGAAGGGTCATGAGGGAACCGGGAGCCCCTCACTCTGGGCAGCCCTGGAGTCCTAGACTTAAGGTCTTCAGGGCTGTGGCCAGCGGTGGTGGCCTTGCTTTCCATCTTAAAGAGAAAGATCCAGAAGGGGCTCGATAAACAGTAGCCAGTCTACTCCCTTGCTAAGCCCCTTGGCTGGAGGTCAGCAACGTGTAGATCCCAGCCCTCATGTCTTCCAAATTAGGATCGCCTGGTGCCTGAGAAGGCACTCTGACACACTCTGTCTGGGTGGAGCGTGCCCCAGGCCTTGGTCCTGGTGTCTTCCCAGCAGCCCCTGCGGCTGGGAGGTCAGAGGCTCTGGTTTTAGTGAGGACCCAGGGGCCAGAGGTTAACCAGTCCCCATTCCAAAGGCCAGGAAGGAATAGCTCAAAGGCTTAAGCCCAGAAATCCTGGCCCCTGGTCGTGGACATGTCGTGGCCATGACTTACTCTTTCTGAACATTACTTTTTTTATCTGTGAAATAGACACAGGTAAAAATCCGCCAACATTTAGGAGTGCCTGTCCCGGATGAGGTCTGTCCTGGGTTAGGGGGCTAAGCACTGCCTGGAACGACCATGGAGACGTAGGAATTACTGAAGATAGTGCCTAGTAACCACTCACTTAAATGCCACTGTTCTGTTATTAACCACAGGCATTACAGAAGGACTGGGCGAGCACACCCAGCTTATGCCAAGCCCTGGAACTGGGCTGGGGATCCCAGCTCTGGTTCTTGTCAGGGGTGTGAGGGTGTGGGGGGGGGGGGGGTGGGGGTGGGGGGTGTGAGTTTGTGGGGGGTGATGCTTACTGAGGAGACAGCAGCCCCCAGCCCTGCCCTCACCCCCATCCCGCAGATCAGACTCACATTGTAGCTGTCCATGTCCTTTTGGGGGGTGACACGGTGTCCCAACCCCCACAGCTTCCACTCACGATGACAGCGCTTCTGCAGCTGGCACAGCTGAATCTTGAGGCTCTGTGATGGGAGAGGCGTGTCACCCGGTGCAGCAAACTCTGCTGGGGCGTCTGCCCTGGGACTGGTCCAGAGGTGCTCACAGCCCCGGCAGGGGGGAAGGGGTGGGGGGGAGGGGGATGCTGAGCCAGGGTGGGGGCGGGTGGAGGGGAAAGCTCTGGGCCTCTCAGCTGTTCAAGGTACCAGGAAAGGCCCGAAAAGGCCTGTCCAGGCTGACTGAGGTTTGAATGTTGACTCATGGCCCCCAGAGCCCCTTTTCCTCCAGTAACCAGAGCCAAGAGTCTGTGCCCTTGTGGCCCCGAGGGCTGCTGGGAGGGCATGCGGAGTAAGGCCGTGGACGGCCTCCTGTGACCCAGCCTGCTCCTGCTGTGTTGGCTGCACCCTGACGAGGCCCCGTGGGGCTTCAGTTCGGCATGGGACATATGCAGGTGTCCTCACTTCGCATCTTAATCTCCTCCCATGGAAAGTGGGCACAAGAGTGCAACTGGGTCTAAGATGCGAAATTTAAGGTGGTGTAGGAACACTCAGCGTATGCTTAAAATGAAGACAAATTAATTAAGATAAATAATATCTTAATCCAATGTTTTTAGAAGATCAAAGTTAATAGAAAGTATCCACGATGGACAAAATATTAAAATTTTACATAAAGATGGGCTCCAATCAGCACCTGAATGCTCACCTAACTCATCTCCCCTTGTCTCAGCCCTAGGAATTAAAGCACTTAGCTCTAGGTGCTGGCGTGAGATTTAAATGAGATAAAGCAGGTAAACTGAGGCTAGCCCCGTCCTGCCCAATCCTGAAGGGTCTGGCTCTCCAGAGGGGAAAAAGGTGCAAGGTGGTGTAGGTTTTCAGTGCGACCACTAGGGGACAGAGACTCTCCGCAAACATCACACAATGGTCCTTTACAAGAATCAACCCACCCTCAGCCTTTCTATCCAAGTCCCCTTTCCCCTCCCAGCCCCCCGGCCCCAGGATGCAAATTCATCCAGCCAGGCCTTTGCCTGGGCACTTTCTCCTGGCTGGAGTGCCCGGACCTCCTGGCTGAAGTTCTGTTTATTATAAGATTAACCAAAAAGGAAAGAGAGGTGACTTCTTGGGGCACCGCATCGCCGTTTGACAGATAGAGAAGCTGAAGCTCAGAGAGGGGCCACCCTTGCCCAGGGTCATGCAGCTAGTCAGAGACTGACATGTAATTGGAACCCGGTCTGTTTGAGTCTAGAATTTGTGTCTTTTCTCCCACCAAGAACACCTTTTGAACATAAGCCAAGCTTCAGGAAAGACCCCGAGTCAGCCAGCAGAAGGGGAGAGAAAGGGATCCAGAACAAGGCTCTGGAGTGACAGCGCCACCCAGACCCTCCCAACAGCCCACCGCTGCTCCGAGCCTTCCCCCAGAGGTGCAGAGGGAAGGGGGACTCTTCTACCCCCAGTCCTATGGGCTAAGGGCAACAGACCAGGCTGCAGATAGCTGTTACCGGGATAAGAGCCCTGTGGCTCTCCTCTAGAGACTCCAGCCTCTGGTGGAAGACCTGGCTCATCTTGGAGAAGGCTTCCAGATGCTCCTGGATGTCCTGGCTGATTGTGAAGAGTTGCCCATAGTGCTCCACCATGGCCCCCACCAGGGCCTCATCTGGTACCTCTCGCTCCTCCCCTTCATTGTGGCCTAGGGAGACAATGCCGTGGTGGGATGAGCGGGTGCAGAGAGCCCAGCCCTCACCTGTGTCCTGCCTGGGCGATACCACCAATGTGTCGGAGGGGGGACTTCTGCCGAGGCCCTGCAATTCCAGTGGCGGACCCACAGATGAGAGGCGCCAGAAGAGCCCGTGCGGGGCTTAGCCCAGAACAGCAGGACGGGTCCAGCAACTGGCCAGCTCCCTCACCCACCGCCTGCCTGTTCAAGAGATGCATTAACATTTGAAAGGTGCCCTACCAGCCAAGAACCCAGATTCTGAAGCCAGGAGCCCCAGTGAGACAGGAGATGGTCTCCAAGGACCTGGAGCCTTCACCCCTCCTTGGCTTGGTGCTCAAAACTTTTTGGTGCTACTCAACCTTCCAGTCACATCTCCCAGCAGCCCCTGCCAAGTTCTGGTGCTGCAGCACACTGGAACGCACCATGCCCAAGTTCACCTTGCAGGGCTGTGGCTCCAACCTACGTTCATGCTGTTCCCTCTCCCTGCAATGCTGTTCCCCATTGCTGAACTCGCTGGAGCCCCATGAGAGGCCACCTCTTCCTTGAAGCCTTCCCTGATATCCAGAACAGTTTGGGGGGCCTCTCGTCGCTCCACAGCATTCAGTGCAGCGGCCCTGAAGTCAGACCAGAGTCTGAGACCCAGCCCCACCACTTCCTGGCTGGGCATTTTGGGCATGTTCCTTAACCTCTCTGAGCCTAGGTAACACAATTCTCAGAAGCTCACACAGAGAGGTAAAAAAGTTTTCCAAAGAGGTGAGCACAAAGTGAGTTAATAGTCATTAGTAAATGGTGGTAGTTAATAAATGGTAAGAATTATTCTTATTATTGATGATGTTGAGATAATGATGATAAAAATACATGTTTGATTGCCTTCCGTTTCCTAAAAAGCTTCTGGCACTGACAACAGGCTCTGGTACTAATCGCAATAAAACAAAACACAAAGGCCATTTCTGGTGTCTGTGTAATTTTAGCTGATAATAGCAAAACAAACAAACAAACAAAAACACAAAACCAAAGACGCACAAAATAATAGCAATCCTAGCTAACATGGACTGGGTGTTAGCTGAATGCCGGACTCTGAGCTACAGGCTCATGAAGGATGAGTTCATCCGATCTGCATAATGGGTGCTGTTCCCCTTGTACAGATCAAGAGACCAGGACCTTGGGGACACCTGGGGGGCTCAGTCAGTTAAGCGACTGCCTTCTGCTCAGATTATGATGCCAAGGTCCTGGGATCGAGCCCTGCTCTGCGGAGAGCCTGCTTCTCCCTCTCCTGCTTCTCCCCCTGCTTGTGCTGTCTCCTTCTCTGTCAACTATATAAAATATTTAAAAAGAAGGAAGGAAGGAAGGAAGGTAGGTAGGTAAGGAGGAAGGGAGGAAGGAAGGAAAAGACAAGGACCTCGAGAACTTCCGCGGGCCACACCAGTGGCTCTGGTGGCGCCGGGGTTCACAGGCAGACTCGCTCGGCACCTGTCCCCTTTCGGACCCCTGTGGCATCGGCTTTTGTGGGTCCTCCTCCTGCAGATGAGGTCAAGTCTCACACCGCGCCCTAGTCCCGAGGCTGGGATGTGGCAGCTGAGATGAACCGAACCGGCATACATACCCTTAGGGATTATCTCAAGGACCTTAATCAGATAGTCTTCAAAAAGTTTGTGCTTCTCGACCTCTCTCTTCAGCTTCCTCTGCCTGCAGAGACATTTCAGGGACAGCAAGACATGGTTTAGAGTCCCTGAGGTCATGACCTCTTGCAAGGCCATTCTGCGTGGATCTCTGGCTCAGACCTGCACTGGACGGGCCCGCCACCCCCACCCCCATCAGTGGGCTGCTGACTTAAGCCTCCCCACCCCATGTCCTGATGAGAAACTGAGCCACAGGCAGTTCAAAGAACTGCCATGATAGGGCATGAGGAAGGAGCACCAGGGAGAGGGGAGTTCAGTCTTTCTGCTGTGGGATGGGGTCCTACGGGTCCTCCCTTAGATGCTGGTCTGAGTCCCCCTCTCCCTGCAGCCACCAGCTGGTGACCTGGCCAGGTGCTTCTGCTCTGCGCTTGGCTAGCCCATCTGTAGCAACAGTAACGTCAGCCCTCCCTGCCCCCTGCCCAGGTCGGCCGGGACCATGTGTGGGGCCCCCAGCACATAGCAAGGAGAGACTGGGGACCCTAGCACCCCCAGAGGGGAGACAACCATGTGCCACCGCCCAGCCATGCTTGACTCTCAGGCGAACCCCTGAGCAAGCTGAGTCTCCAGTCTGTCGCCTGCTCTGTGCCCAGTCAAGTCAGTGGTCAAGGGCAGAGGCAGAGTGGGACCTGCCCCCGTCAGAGGCAGCGCTTCCAGGGACTGCGGTGGCCTCTCTGAATGACTGCTCAGGGACCCAGGGCAGGCCTCTCCACCTCTCGGGCCTCACTTTTTCATCCATACGGTCCTGGAAAAGGCAGGGAAAAGCCATTTTCCCTACAAATACTGTGCGGACCCTGCACACCGTGGGGCTAAACCTTAGTGGGGTCAGGAAGCCCTGACAGGATCTGATGGGAGGCTTGGAACTTTGCTCCACAAACTCGCTCACAGCCACGTCCTTTGCATCTGATTCAGGCTTTCATGGGGCAGCCCGAAACTGATGGGCTGCCCCATAAAAGCCCCAGGGGTGAGGACCAGGGTCTCCGCATGAGGCGGGTGGGGGGAGCTGACAGCTTCACTGGTTGACTTGAGAGGGGTGAACTGACAGGTGCAGGGGATGGCTCCCCACAGCCAGGCTTCCGGGATGGGAGACTAAGCCCAGAGTGGGCCTGGGAGGGCCCAAGATCTGAGCTCGAAGGACCAGAGCCAAGCCCCCACCCCCTCCCCACTGATGCCCCTCCTGTTTCCAGGGATCGCTCCCCGCCTTGTCCCTTCCCTGCCTGGCCCTGCTGTTCGCTCAGCCCCAGCCACCTAGCTCCGTGTCAGCGCTGCTGGGCATGGGGCCGGGGCCCAGTGGGGCCTGAGACCTCTCGTACTTTGCCTGGAGCTGGCCGAGTTCCTGCAACAGCTCCTGCAGGTCCCTATCCTTGTCGCTGGCAACGCTCGGGCCAGCCCCCTGGCTGGTGTCCACGGCCACCAGCATCGCCCCTCACCACTCTGGCCGCACAGGAGGACGAGGTCACATGGGCTAGGTGGGAAGACTGGTCAGCACTCTCTCTCCCGACCTTCCCAATGGCCCCCCAGAAGCCAGTCACGTTCCCAGTTCGTGGAAAAGGAAACGGAGGCTCAGAAAGGGTCTGTGACCAACTCAGGGACACACAGCAGGGCTGGATCTGAACTTGAGGCTTGTCGAACCCGACGTTGGGGGTCTTCCAACAGGTGCCGGAGAGAGTCCCAGGGTCAGGGCTGGGTCTGACTCAGAAGACAGTGTGCACAGGGCGGGGACACCTTGGTGGCCTCTCCTATCCACCCGCCCTCACCCATTTATGCCTTCAGTGACATCACATATTCTGAGCGTGTGGAGAGTTCATCAAAGGGGAGTGGAGGCTGAGACAGACACTTTGAATGAGCTCATGGTCAGGCAGGGAAGGCGGCCTAGGTAACAGGTAGTTTCTACGAGGCCTTGTGAAGTGCTCCTGGACCATCTGCCCAAGTCTTGTTCCCAGTTATGGCCCAAAGGAGAAGAACGTCTCCCTAAGCCTGACATTCATTGGCTATCTGCTGGACCAGCCGCAGCACAGGGGTCGGAGCAGGGAGAGAAGGGGCAGGGCTTCGTGGTGGGCCTTTCCAGCCTTGAACATGACTCTGGGATACAAGCAGCATGTGGAAGGAAGAGGGGGCCCAGCTGACTCCCTCCAGGCTCCAGGAGCTCAAAGCCATGGCCACTGGGCCATGACATCATAATGCTGGTCTCTGTCCATTGCAGGACCCACCTGTGGGTAAAGAGCCACCTTCTCTGTGGCCTACGCCTGCCTCCTTGGTTCAGTTCGCAAAGACAAGGGGGAGAGGCATCGGTGACCCCAGGGGGGACTCGAGCTACTTTTTGTCCTTTCTTTCAGGCTGGTCATTCTTAAGACCCCTACTTGGTGGGCTCCCCAGATCCCACTGGCGTGTCCCTGTTATCTCCTTCTACCTGAGAGTGGGTGGCTAGAGCTTGTGCCCTTCCCCAGCGAGGGCACTCAGCAACCCGAACGGGCTCAGCTCTGCCAGTGGCTCAGAACCACACCTGGCCCAGAGCAGGGGAGAGGGCAAGGTGAAGGAGGCTTCAGGTCCTCAACCTGGGACCTGCCCCTGCCTTATGGCTTGGCCCTGGTACCTGCTGTTGGAGTCTGTGGGCCTGTGGCCTTTGGGGGATCTGGGCCTGCTGCCCACCCCTGATGCCCCAACTGGCTGTCTAGGCCTTCCCCCAACAAAGGGCTCCATTCCATCAGAGCCAGGGCCTCCACAGAGGGCAGCCTGGGGAGTCACCACGGGAGGATGGGGTTCACTGAGAAGAATGCTGAGGGAAGGGAGGTAGCAGGGTGAGGGCAAAGGCGGAAGGAGGAGCGGGGGGAGGGGGGCGGGCTGGAAGGGAGACTAAGGCAACACCAGGGCCTGGGGCCACAGCTGAAAGGGCGCTGGGCAGGGGCGGGGATAGGGACCTATGCAGGGGCGCACACATCAGCAGGCGACGGAGCCAGTCCCTGCCGGCCCAGGAGTCCCTGAGCAGGTCTCAAGGGAGCGGTCGGCCCTCCATGGTCCTAGAACCTCTGGAACATTTGAGGAGCTTCAGTGGAGGCATGAAGGTTCGGGAGCTGCGTTCGTGCGTGGGGACGGCCGGTACCCACAGAGGTCTGCGGTCCAGGGTCGTCCAGACTCCGAACCCGCCTGGGGAGGGGAGGAGGGCTGGAGGAAGTCCTCCCCGAGTTGACAATGTCGGAGGTGGTCCCTGAGGATAAGAAGGAGCCGGGGAGGGTCATCCCGGTGGAGAAACAGCTGGGAAAGTTCAGAAGCACCAAATAGCATCCATGGCCTGTGGGAGCTACAGGCAGATGCTTAGAGGAGAAGGGCAGGGAGAGGGTGGTGTGGCTGCCACCGGAGAAGCCATCCAGGTGTACGGGCCGGGCTCTCCGCGTGCCTGCGACGGAAACTAACAGGCTTCTCTGGGCAACGACGGCCGCGGGACAGGTACGAGGGAGGCCACAGAATCAGAAGAGCCGAAGACCCAGGCCCGTGGAGCCCAAGGGCCCAGGGCAGCCCTGAAGATCCAGGCAGCGGGAACTCAGGGGGGTACCTCCCAAAACGAACCCTCCCCTACCCCTTGCCATCAGCGCCTTCACACCCAAGAAGCAAGGGCCTTAGAGAAGGTACCCGATTTGCTGAACCTCGTCATGTGCCCGCCCCTCAGCTTGACGGACAGTCACATCATAGGCGCTGTTTTGGGGCCTGGAAGTTTCCCAGAGCAAATCCCGGGCCCTTTGGCTGGAGGCTGGGAAGTGGGTGCCAAGCGGGTGAGCAGGACACCGAGGCCGAGGGAGGCCCCGGGGAGTCTGGGCTCGGCTGAAGGAGTGGCCTGGTCAGATCGGCATTTTGGAGCGTGCCTTCGGGCTCGGAGTGGGGGTGAGTATTGTCAGGACACTTCTAAGTGCTTTCCATGCAGGGCTCAATGTCAGGCAGCATGCCACAAACCAAGCGGTTCTTCCCCAGTGGGGAAACTGAGGCCCAGAGAGAAACTTGCCTGAGACCTTGCTGTTGGGAAACTGCTGAGCTGAGCTGTTAATCTAGAAAGTCTGGGTGGGTGGGCTGCTGGGACTCGAATGCTGATCCAGTGGGGATCCCACAAGCGGGCACATAGGGTGAGGGGGGCTGCTCCCAGAGAGACCCATTAAGTGCCTCTGTCAAGGGCAGATGCGCCCCACCCCCCACCCCCCCAGCCCTAGGCAGACGCAGGAGCCGCCTGGTATGGCCACAGGCAGGGGATTGTGGGGTTGGTGGAACACTTTACTTCCCAGTAAGGATTTTATTTTTGGCCTCAAGAGTCCCACACCCACCCCAGGCTGGGAGACAAACTGTGGCAGTTCTGGAAATACGTCTCCCTACCAGGCCTTAAAGAGCGACTGTCTGTGATTAGCAGACACTGACTGCGATCATCTCCTGCCGCCTGGTGCTTTACCTGGAGTCTCTCATTTACTTCTCGAGAAGTTCCTCCAAGTTCATTGAAGCATGGCTCCATTTTGCAGAGGAGAACACTGAGCATCTACCAGGCAAAGGAACTTGCCAAGGCACTGGGCTAATCTCTGGTGGCAGGATTGGCTCCGTAATTCATGGAGCCTAGTGCGACCTGAAAGTGAGGTGCTCTTGATTTTAAAAATTAAGAATTTCAAGACAGCAGTGGGAACACAAAACCGGTAATGGACTCTTCTGAGCACGGGCCCAGGGCCTAGCTGCTCTGCAGGGATTTGAACTCCTGCCTAGAGATTCCAGAATCTGTTAACTCTACCCCAGTCCCTTCCAAACTCTACACCTTATCCTGCCTCAGAGCTTCTGCTGAACTCTGACTCTTCCTCTTCTCCTCCCCACCCCTACCCTCACCCAGCAAGCTTCAGACCTCGTCCCCCCACCCCCGCTTCCTTGATGAGGGGAAAATTGGAGGCTGCAAGGAGCTTTAGACCAGATAAGAAGATCCAGGTGGAGAAAGGCTGGGGGATGCAGTGGGTGAGGGGCCAGGTCTCAGACTCCCCCAGATTTCCTCTCTCCCCTGGGCTGTTGGGGAGGTAAATCCAAGACAAGGCTGTCTATTCCAGACAACTGAGAACCTTGAAACCTGGGGGTACACTTCAAGGGCAGAGCCACAATTAAATGGCAATAGAGCCCCATGTTTTTAAGCCTTAACAAGGACTCCTGGGGCTGGAGTTTGACCCCAGGGCTTGTGTCTCCCAGTGCAGCCAAATGGATAGCCAGATCAGGCCTGCAACCCCAAATGTCCCCAAGGGGGACAAGACCAGCCCTTGGCCAGACATAGGCGACGCTTAGGACGCAGAGTGAGGCTGTGCAGCCAAGCAGGGGTACCGCCTGTGTGACCTTAGGAAAAGTGCATAACCTCTCTGAGCCTCCGGTTTAAATGGAACATGCAGGGGCACCTGGGTGGCTCAGTCGGTTGAGCATCTGACTCTTGATTTCAGCTCAGGTCGTGATCTCAGGGTCCTGAGTTCGAGCCTCCCACCGGGTTCCATACTCAGCATGGAATCTGCTTGAGTTTCTCTCCCTCCATCTCTCTCTGCCTTGCTTCCCAACCTGGTGTCATGCACTCACTCTCTCTCTCTCAAAATAAATAAAATCTTTTTAAAAAGGTAAATAAGGAGGCTCCTGGGTGGCTCAATGGGTTAAAGCCTCTGCCTTTGGCTTAGGTCTTGATCCCAGGGTCCTGGGATCAGGCCCTGCATCAGGCTCTCGGCTCAGCAGGAAGCCTGCTTCTCCCTCTCCCACTCCCCCTGCTTGTGTTCCCTCTCTCTCTGTCTCTCTCTGTCAAATAAAGAAATAAAATCTTTAAAAAATAAAAATGAAAAAATAAAAAAGGTAAGTAAATGTAAAGTGGAGACCATTACCGTACCTATTATGAAATGATATAATCCGCATAGAATGCTTAATCTCATCTATTTTTTATTTAAAAAAATCTCTGTGTGTGTGGGAGCACGTGTATAGAATAAAGTCTGTGTGGGTCTTATTTTAGGGGCAAGAGGTGAGGGGAAACTTTTCTGCCACCGTAACTCTGAGGACAGCGAGCATCCCAGAGCCTGGCACATAGCTGGCATTCAGTCAGCCTTCGTTTTGATTCCTGTCCCTCCCTCCTCACTGCCTTCAGGTTACAGTGGTGGGGACCCCCTAGCCCAGGACCCTGGCTAAGAGCCTTGCTTCTGGGGTTGGCTGGCGAAGTGACTTCAGGGAAGGGGTGAAGTGTGAGTGAAGCCTGGGAGTGGGGTGGGGGGGGGGCTGTGGGTGGAGGTGGGCACAAGGAAGACAGGCATGACCTATTAATTCTGCCTGGATTTTGCCAAGACCCCACACTGCTTAGCATCCCACGCCCTCACGGAGATGGGATCTCAGAACTCTGTTTCTATCCCTTGCCTCCCGGCCGAGGTACTGAGGAGGCAAAGAGCCAGAGAA